CTGTTGAAACAAGAAACAGTTACAAAATAGACGAACATTATCTGCAGGAATTGATTTACGGAACCCATTTTTTAACGTAAACTAGCCCAAAATTTGGCCTAGTTTTGTGTTTGCATAAGATCTGAAAACATTAAAAGTCACTCTGTAGGAATTGGTGCAAACAGTAGGGTTTGAAAAAAATAGATCAACAGTATATCAAGCTTCAATTTTACATAAAACTAGAAACTAAAAGTAATTTCTTTACAAAAATTAATTAATTAACAGCACGATTCTGGACAAATGATATAAAAATATCTAAGTCACAAATAAAAAAACACTAAAATTCATCAGGAATATCTTACAGTGGATTTAAACTTTGCTGCAAAAACTCAAACTCAGCAAGAATAAAATAATAAATATATTTTTTTGGTTGTTGCTGTTGGTAAAAAAAAATAAACATTTAAAATTCCTTTATAAAAATCAGAAAGAGTTTAATTTTGTGAGTATTTGCGAATTATATTTATATTTTGAAAAAATAATTGATAATTGAATAAGACTTGAAAAATGATAAAATAAACAAGCTTCAAAATATCAGCAGAAAGAAAAATACAAAGAAAAATTTAGCAGAAATTTGTAGTAGAATTTGTAAGGAAAACAGATCTGGCTTTAGTTTTTTTGCAGGAATTGATTTACAAAATTGAAAAAAAGTACTAAAAGTAGCCGAAAATAAGATGTAGTTTTGTTTTTGTATAAAATCTAAAAACATTAACTTAGCAGCAATTACTGCAGACAACAGAATTTCAGAAAAGTGAACCAAGCTTCAATTTTACATAAAACAAAGGGTTACATTACTGCAGCAAGAATTATATTATTGTATTATTAGTGTGGACAAATGATATAAATAGGTATCTAAAGCACAATTCAGCAGAAATATCTCACAAAAACGGCAGAATTTAAAACATGTTAAAATTTAGGTAGTTTTTTGTATCAGAAACTCTTAAAATTCGGCAGGAATAGTAGTAATATTGTCTTTGTTACTGTTGGTTAAAAGCTCGAAATATTTAAAACTGTTTTGCAAAAATCAGAAACAAATTTATTTATTATAAAAAGAAATGAGTTTATTTTGATAAATGTTATAATTAATAATAATTTTATAATTAAATTAATAATTGATAAGATATGTAAAATAGTAAAATAGTCAAGCTTCAAAAAATTTGCAGGAATAAGATACGAAGAAAAATTTAGCAAAAATTTCTTAACAGGAATAAAACAATATGAAATATTCGGCTTTGTTTTTGAGTTAACAAAAAAGCAAGGACTTTATTTAAATAAATTTTTTATTATTTTGCAAATTATGTTTAATTTTTGGTGCAATTTTCCTTCGTTTTCCGCTCATATCTGGTCCGTGTAAGAAATCTCATCCATAAATCAGACAGTTTGCGGAGCATAACTCGCGCCGGTTAATTTAATTTTTTAATGGCTAGTTAATATGCACACCCACCGCGAGACGAATTTTTTAAGTGGCTTATGGTGTAAAAAGGTGGCCCCGGGATGAAGCTTTCTATTTCATTATCGCTTTTTACTTATTTGAAGAAATCCACCGGATTTCTAATCCTATTAATAATAAAACTGAGGTAGCATATCATCAAAACAAATTACATAAGAAAAAAACAACTTTCTTCTATGCGCTTAAAAAACTCAATCGCCGGACATCCACAGTGAATTTTTTTCATAATTAATCACAGCAGATGTGTTACTTTAATTAAAACCGATATTTAGACGGAAAAAATCGTGTCAAATGTGTGGAAAAGCACTTTAGAAAGCGCGCATATATTTCGAATTGGTCACTCGGTGATTAATTTCTAATGTTCATTATCGGCATTGTGCCCACGTTTGAAAAACGCCCAAAGCGTTTAGAAATTTCTTGACCGCGAGCAATCATTACGGTGGACATAAACCACCAAGTCATCCTGGCCCTCGATCTAGCCCACACTGACACTTTTCATGAATATGCAAGGACAAGTCGTAAAATCTCAAGCACTGTAATTAGAAGAGGTTTCTTGCCTTAAGCGGTACCGCAAGACAGGCCAAACAGAAACAACACTGTTTTTGCATCTGAATTTTAATTGTTTCGAATGACGCGGAATAATGATGAGGCATAAGATTCTACTGAACTTAACAACATTTTACCACTGGATAAATTTTGGCAAAGCCACAATTAACATTCTTGGAGGTCAGTCACTAGATCTAATGGCCGAATGCAATGAGCCAAAGCAATAAAGACATTTGACGGAGATTAGCTGCCAACAATACTCATTTATTACAATAAAACATCAGCAATTTTTTCAAAATGCCTGCCAGTCTTGCGTTAATATCTCTCAACTGTACTGAAACACTTAGATTATTGTTATTCTTCTAACGAAATACTATTAAATTGTACCTAGGTTTCGTCAAATCAAGCTATTTTAAAAGTTTCAGTGGGAGTATATTGATTTTTTTCTGTTTAGTTAGTTTTGTTTGGCTGAAACTGAAAAAGTAGTCAAAAATGCTAAACTAGTATTCAAAAATTAAAAGTTTAAAAACTAATTAAAAAAAACGTTATTAATTGAGAAAAAATACAGTTTTTTTGTAAGCTTATTCAAAATTTACAAAGTAATGTCTTAATGAAGCATTGAAATCGCTATATTTTTGTGAATTGCTTGTCGAACTATGAAAATTATATAATAATGTTTCACGTAGCAACATAGTATTTTTTTTAATAAAAATTTGCAAAAATTTCATAGTTTACAAAATACTTTTAGTATAAGTCAGTCTGAAATCCTAAAGTTTTGTAGATAACTGAAAATGGAAATTACATCCTTTATGTTCATAAAGGTGTTGTATACAATGAAATACTACACCACATTAAAGCAGAGGAATGTTTTGTTGGAAACTTTAACGACCAGTTAGTACCAAAGCATAAAACGTGGTAGTAAACATTTTTCACTTACAACTTACACGATTAAAAAAATACATTTTTTATAGCGAATTGCACTTATTTTTACTTGAAATAATCTTGTTTGGCTAAAAATTAACCAAGATTAGGAAAAAAAAATGCTTTCATCGAGTATTGAAATCTCTTACTAATCTACGCAAATCATTTAGTATTTTTATTCTTCGACACTGTCAAAATTTACGGTTTTTCTCTCGTGTAAGGAAGTTTTGACAACTGTGTGGCATTTCTCAATACGAAACGTTAGATTATTTTTAACAGATTTAAAGCAAGTTTAAGCCTTATTAAGTCTAATTCGAAGAATAAAATGTTGTATTCAACTCGTTTGAGTGTAAATCGGACGCTTTATTCCACCTCGTGGATGATAAACCTCTCGTTACACTTGTGGTTTTATAACCCACTCGGTGAGATAATCCGTCCGATTTACACTCAAACTCATCGAATAAATAACTATTACGCATCACTTTTCACTTAGCTTCAATTTTACATAAAACTAAAAACCAAAAACCTCACTACAGCAGAAATTGTATTATTTAGAAATGGAAAGAGCAGAATTATTGTGGACAAATGATATAAATAATTAAAACACAATTCAGAAAAAAATATTTCACAAAAACAGCAGAATTTATACATCTTAAAATTTAGTTTAGTAAATTGTTACTAATCTATGCAAATAATTTAGTTTTTTTTATGCAGCACTTTTTACAGCAAGGTTTTTAATAAAAAATGTGAGTAATTATTTTATAGGACACGCATGAATTCTGAAGTGACAACTGAAAATGAGAATTTTTGAGCATTGCCTATATCATTACTTTGCTGAAAAAAGTGTACTAAACCCCAAAATATTCAAAAAATATTTTGCCGGAGATTTAAACGACAAGTTATGATAAAAGCAATAACACTGGAAAAATTGTTTATAAGTTTAAAAAAATAATGGCTTGTGGTTATTTCAACTTGTGTTGCATTTATTTTGTTAGAACTTGTCAAAAATGGTCAAAATTTGGTAATTTGTTGGGAGACTTTAACGCCGGAGTAGCAGACGAACTTCGTTATTTCTTATGCTGCTTAGCAGGTAATGATTAGATTCAGTCGTGCTTACGTAAGCTTTTCTTAGACTTTGATTCAACACGAAGGAATTTCCGGTATGTTTTTTAGATTTTATGTGTTTTGGTTCAATTTTATGATCTGGTTTTTGTTGTTTCTCATTTCCGGTTTTTGACATATTTCAAGTTGAGCGAGCAGGTGCCAGCTTTTATGGAAAACCGCTGTCTGAAAAGTGTGTCATTTTCTCTATCCAAACCCAATTGTTCATCGGCCTTTTTGCTCTTGTTTCAGTGTTGTCGATCGGAAACAAATTTCCAGAGGCGACTCTATAACTCAAATTTTTCCTCTGGATCTGGGTCATTTGCCAGCTGTGTTATCCCTATAAACCAGCATAACTGTCATCCCATCGTTACTTTATCATTTATCTCCTCCTCGCAGCGTTCTCTTCACCGCTTGAGGACCCTTTTGTATTAATTAAAAACGCGGAAGCCGCAACTCTGAGACAAATCCGATCCTCGCGTTAAACCAACTACAGTCTCGCTTCTGGCAGATAATAATATTGCAAACCCATTATTTTAACGACAATTACCATCAGTGATGGCCGCAGCAATAACTCAGCCCTCGAGCACCTAATACTCTCTAATGGATGCAAAAATAAATTTGTAAACAAAATTTAATTGGGTTAAACGCCCACATTTTGATAAAAATGTCCAAATAAACCAGTTGTGAGTCGAATGCGGAGATGTCAGGTGTTATAAACACGTCGAAAGGATCGATAGTCGGTAATAACGTTCCGGTAATGCAGAAGATTAAAGCTGACGTTAATATATTACGTGTTTGGACATTGTAACGAATCTCAAAATGACGGTGATTACAAACGACTGAATTATAAACATCGACGCTTCATAATTTAACCGAATTACAAGTCTACGACCTGCACAGACCCGAATTCTCCTAATTAATTAAAAAAAAATGTGACACTCACCTTAATCTCGCTGGAAATTCCGAATCAGCCCATGGCAAAGTCTGAAACAGAAAATTTCAATCAGTCGAAGTTTTCAAATTGCAAAAGCACTTAAGATCGCATAAATGCTTTATAGTGTGCGATTAGAATAATAGCTTGACATAAGCAAATAATCTCACAAGTGCCCTAGGCGAAACGTAATTAAATTTTGCTCAAGAAAAACATCTCGGACATGAGGTGGTTGCACACCGATCCATAAAACTGGCTAATTAATTTTTGCAATTTGTGCTTAAGTAACGGTTGCGAAACGGAAGACGAGACCAATTTAATTAAATGTCGGAGGTGAGGGGTTCGAAAATGATACAAGGAAAAATTTATTTTTACACAAATGCAATTAAATTTATTCTAAAGATTGAGTAACGCGCATTTGTGGCGAGTCTTATTTTAAAAAGAGAAAATTGGTTGGAATTAAAGATTTCAGTAGAAGCGCCAATTAACAGTTTTTTGACTGAATTGCAAAGGTTAGAAGCAGCTACGGCGAAGGAATTTTAACATTCTTGGAAACAAATTAGTTTTATGCGATTAGCTCCAATTTTGCACTTTTAGCAGTAATTGCCTTATAAGCACCCATTAATGAAGCAAAATGCTTCAAACGAGCATTTTTTCTCAAATGTGTGCTAATCCAGCATTGAAGTCCAAATCCAATTCCTTCTAATTCCACAAAATATCGTTTTAAATAATAGTAAATTCAAGTTTGTAAAAAATTAAAATATAATTTCTAAATAGTTAAATAAATATTCATTAAGAGACTGAGTGATAAGTCACGACAAAATGGTTGTGTGCTATTTCAGCATTAAAATATTTATCTTTTTTTTTTCTATTTGAGTCAAGAACATAAAATTTTATTATATTGGTATGTATAAAAAATTAAAACTTGTTTTGTTAAAATTCTATAATTAATGAAAAACTTTAACGATAAGTCAAGTCAGGTCCACTGAAAAACTAAAAATAAACGAAACTGTTCTCGTAATTCCAGTTTTTCAAGTATGGAATCCTGAAACTTTTGAATATTTTTGTGGGAGATTTCAATGTCAGGTTTGCACACAAGCCTATTCTTAAATACAAATTTCTAATTTTTTGAACAGATAAATATTCATGAGCTTTTATAATCACAAGCAAACAAATCGCGAAAGACAATAGTCTCTCGAGCTGAAAACTGCGTAAACCACCTGACCTGAAATTTCGCACACAATTCGCTCATATCTTTCCATCATTTTAAATTTGCATGCCCTTCGCTCATCCATTATCCGAAAAACAATTAAAACGATTCAAACATCGACATTCCTCTGCAATTATAGTCCATTATCTTGCAAAAAGCAGAATAAAAATGGCGAAAGGGGAAATAGGGTCAAGACTTCCGTAACTGAAACAAATATCGAGTTCCCATCTTCCATTGCACCTTTTTTCCGGATTTAATGAGATGTCCAGTAAAGTCAAAGCAAATAAAACGAAACGAAGTCAAATGGCGTGGAATAATAACACACCATGAATACCGTAGGCGATAGGAGAAAGTTATGATGATCTCTTTTGATTTGGTTTGGTTCCAGTGGCGTGTGCGTGGAAAGCCGGACTTTTCCGGGGTTATAAAAATCTTAAAGGTTTATTGATCAAGGTTTTAATTAAAGGAGAGTTGAAGTAAATTGAACCAGGGTCGTGTAATTTTCGGTGGACCTCGTGAATGTCGCAGACTAATCGATCATGCAGAGAGAAAAAAATCGAACACGATGGTATCTCGTAATGGCAATGTTCTGCACGATTTTTTCATCAATAATCCGCCGTTCCGTGTTATTACTTCTATTATCATTAATTAGGACAAGATTGGGACTGTTTCTTTAAAAGCTCTTTTCTTATTACGTTGCTATTTTAGTTTTATTTGTCATTTGGTAATTGTTGTTCCGCTACTTGCTTGTGACTTGTCTATTTATTAAATGTGAATGGGTCACAATGAAAGCATATAATAAACCCGGAGAAAAGCAACATACTTAACGTTAGGTTACTGCTTCTTGCTAAATATAATAATTTTGACAAATGGATTATCATTAATCTCGATGAAAAAAAATTCGTGTCCCTATTCTGCTCAATCAGGTTTATTCTCTTTTCAATTAAGCGCTTTAAAATTAATAAGGCTCTTACTTCTAACGTCTAATTTTCATAGATGACGACGATGATGAGTATCTCCGGCCATTAGTTATTTTGCAGCCTCATTTCTACAGGCCATTAGGCAGACATTTTTGAAATCAGAGTGCTATGTTAGAAAATATTTACAAATTTGGTGTTGAAATCACCAAACTTTTGCTTGCCGGGTATGTGTTCTAACTAAGCATTGGAATCTCCACACAAATTTTACTATTTCAGCAAAAACCCATTTTTTTAGTATTAAAAACAAATTTGAGTTAAGAAAAATATTAATAAAATATTAAAACAGAAACGCAATACTGAAGATGAAATGGGTTTGTACTCTAGCTGATCATTGATGTCTCCAACAATTTTTAAGAGTTTTAACAAAACAACATATAAATTACAAATGTGAGCTTTAAAATCGACAGAATTGTAAGTAAATTTGACGACAAAAGAACCAGTTAAAAATGTTGAGTTTTCAACTTGAAATGTTTTATTTGAAATTGTACTTTTTTAGACCAAAAAAATAGGAGGAGACTTTGACGATAAGTAAGAACACAAACTCAAAGCTTGACAAAGTTAAAGCAACTTTTGCATTGCTATGTGCTATCTGCTCCTGAAAATTCTCTTACAGCAACGAAAAAGTAGCAACAAAAATCTATTTAGGTGTTTTGTTGAGTTTTTAACTTAAAATGTTTAGTTTTACTATAAACTGTAATTTTTAAATAATATTTGAGGAAAATAGCTGGAGACTTCAACGTTGGGAAAGAACACGAACCCAGAGCTTGATACCGTTGAGCGGACTTTTTAATTGCTGTATGTTTCTCCTGGGGCCATTTCTAAATTTTTCCTCAATTTTTGTTTATGGCCTCTGTAGTTTTACGACACTTGTCAAAACTTAATGACTCTCCATCATAAAAATCAAAACCCTCATCGATTTTTACGCTTCTTAATAACATTTTTATGGCTGTTGGTGTACTATAAAACTTTTTCAATTTCCCACATATTTTTGTCGTTCACAGGAGAGCGCATCGCGGTCTCGTGCGCGGCGCGCCCGACTTCCGGATTCGAGTGTCAACCGTTTTCATCGTAGCGTGAGAAACAGATGACTAACGCGGCCAAGTCAAGGCCGACCGTGATTTATGACCGGCCGGACTGGCTAATGCACTTAAGTAGGACTCGGCACGGTGTGATAAATTAATATAAAACCGATTCGACGACTGCGATGCTTTATGGCTTATTAAATCGATACATGTTCACTAAATTGACTTAATGTGTCGAGTGAGCTTTGGGTTTCGTCCGACAGATAAATGTTGCACTTCCAGTTGAGAAATGCACTTTTGTCGCGGCGTTGGAGGTTGTCAGATATGAAAAATTTTCGTTATAGTGGAGGCATCGGTGCGAAGGAGGCGCTGGTACGCATTGTCGACGAGAACTAGAGCATGCCCACTCTCAGGAATGATGCGGGCCAGATTTTACCACATGATTAAAGAACAAGAACCGGAGGTGCCGTGTTTTGAGGGTTTATTACATGACACTTCTTTTGGTAATTGTATGGGATTGGATTACACGCATCGAGAAATGTGGCTACTGGACATCAGCCTATCTCCGGAATATTAATGGACGTTGTTTATAACACTGTTAGTTTACATTTATCAGTTACGCTTTCTTATTCGATAGAGTCATTTTTTTAAACACTAATTCATCAAAACTGTCATAGAAGAAAAGTTTTTTGACATTTCTCAACTTTATGATAAATATCCAGCGATTTTAACGATAAGTCAGAAACTTTAATTTAATAACTGTAAAAATTGTTTTTGTTTTATGAAACTACACTTGGAACAAAACTATCTAATATCTAACCTCAATTTTTTGTCAATACAACTAACTGTGAAAACATTGGAAAAGTGTAAAATGTTTTTAACAAATCTTCAGTTGGTGCTCTCATTCGTCGTTTAAATCTCCATCTGTTTTCTCAGTTTTGGTCTAAAATACTACAGAATTGTAAAAAATCATCTAAAAACCATAAAAAGTTTAGTGATTTCTACTACAAGTGAAGTACCAAACACCAATGTAATAATTATAATTGATCTAAAAAAAGTAAAAAACCGAGAGCAACAACATTTTGCTTAATAGTCGTCATCTAATGATCCAGAATTAATGATATCTTACTGTTGTGATTGTCTTCGTCTTTTGGATTTGCGTTCCAGTGTATCGTTGAAATTTCCGTTTATTTTCCTTTGTTTTGACTTTTTCTTGATCAGATTTATTATAAAAAATACTAATCTGCGCAAATACGGCTGATATTGGAAATTTCAGCGTTAGACCGAAAGCTCTGAAAAAATCACAGATGGTAGGAGTGAAAGCTGCCATTTAGAGTATCTCTGAATTATTTTATTTTAAACAGTTTTATTTAATTTGCTGCTATATTATTATTTTATCTCAGAAAATACATATGCAATTAACGACTTTAATGAGCGATTAGCACAGAAACCTGAAATTTTAAGCACCCGTAACGACATATGAAAATTTCGCGCTGAAATTTCGCAATCTTGCTTCAAACTCGAATAAATCTCGTGCCATCGGTCGCCCACGCGTCTTCCCATCGCCCATATTTATTAGAAATTGCAAGATGGTCGCCCATTTGTTCACAAACCTCAACGAAATCCCCGCCTCTGCATGAATTTTTTGTGCACCTGTGCTAGAATTTAATTCTTGCGCCATTGCCAGCTTAAATAATTGATACAAATTGCCAAGAAACGTAGAAAATTATGTAAAGAAATTTTTTAATCGTCTCATTAGTCCCCGAAACCCGCATCTAATTAGAACGACCATAAAACTCGAAATTGACGCATTTCGCCTGAAAAAAGCCGCTTTTGATTGG